TTTCAGGCAACATTGGCCCGGAGCTCTCATATACTGATATTGGTGTGTTCATCTCTTCTGATGGGGGCAACACCTGGAGACAGGTAATTGGGAGACTTGGGAACAGAGAAGAGGCATTTGGGGCAAGTTCTGCCAAGAGCTCTCCTTCTTATAGATTTTCAGGCTCATCATGACTATGCAATTAAAAAAAAAACTGGAGCAGCTGTACAGGTCGGTCAATTTGACAGGCAGATGAGATGGACAATCTAGTAAAATGGGAAGAGCACTGACTGGGCAGGGAATGGGATGAACTGGAGTTTTCTCAATTTCTTCATCCCTTCATCCAGCAATATGTATGGAACCAGATGCTAAGTACTGTGCTAGTTTCTGTAGACACGACTGATAACATGGTTTCTGTCATTAGACTAAAATGATCTACTCTTCCACTCTTTGCCACATTCAGGGAACACCTATGGGATCTTAACAAGCAGGTCCCTTCAACTTTCTGAGTCTCTTTCTTTATCTGTAAGATGAAAAGGATAGAATATAAAAAGCAGCAAAGCCATGGAAGTCTGTGATGGTTTAAGTATTGTGGAGGCCCAGCCTTAAGTACAAAACAGCTTAATAGATACATGACTACAGGCAAAAACTAATTCAATTTTATAAACATTTGTAGCAGTGCTGTCCAATAGAACTTTCAGCAACAATGGAAATGTTCTGTGTCTCTGCTATCCTGTGTGACTATTGAACACTTGAAATGTGGCTAGTGTGACAAAGGAATGGAATTCTTTATTTTATTCATTTCAATCAATTTATGTTTAAATAATCTCACGTGGCTACTATATTGGACAACACAGATTTATATCATGTCCATTAGGTGTCAAGGATAAACCTGAGGAAGCAGTTGAATACTTTGGAGTCCATTTCCTCAAGGAGCTCAAAATTAAATAGAGGAAACAGATTCATAGATAACCAACTACAGTTTAGAATGATTGTATTATTTTAGTAGCATTCTTAACATGCAGAGGAAAGGAAGAAGTTGATTCTACTTAGGGAAACTAAGACAGCTTCATAAGAAGAGTTAATATGTTATTAAGTCTTAAAGGTTAGAGGGTTTCTACTAGAGAAAGATGAGCACGAAATATCTTGTTGATGCAACTGAAGCCGCCATCTGAAATCCCCCTGGACACGTTCCTGCCTGGGTCCCTTAGCAAAGATTATCACCACCATCACCAGCATCATCATCGCCACCCCCATCGCCGCAACTGTCACCACTACCGCTATCAAAATTTCACCAAGGACCTACCAGACTCAACCAACTCTTTTAAGTATTACAAGGCATACAACAAAGAATTAAGTAGGTAGATGGTAAACAGACAAATAAGAACATATATCCAAAAGATAAGATAATGTCTTATAAGTATCAAAATGAGGATGGAAACTCTTTGGTACAGAAACTCCTAACAGATAAACTATTGTCCCTCCAGTTCAAGAAATGGTTCACCTGGCCAGGTAGCCACTGCAGCACTCCTTTCTTGTATTATCCTTACTATAGATTTTTCTCTTTTTCCAAACAACTAAGGAGTCCAGTTTCCAGTCTAGTGCAGGATGAGGCAAGAGTTAGCAGCGGCCAAAATGATAGTACAAGGAAAGGATGAAGATAATAACTTTTCTCTCCTCCCCAGTGTCAAGAATCGTTTTGCAGCCCTCATCCTCAGACTGTAATCCATCATGTCAATCATGTGGTTTATCACAGAGCCAGCCTTTGAGCTCTGGAGAGAAAACGCTAACTACCTGAAACATAAATGAATCACCCTGAGGTCCTTTGTGTATCAAGGTGCACCATTAGTGTGGACATTTTTCTTCCCTTAAAAGGCAAATGTGAGAAAGGAACCCAATTGAGAGGTTTAGGCCTGAGAATCCATTTACTTTTTCTCTATGGTGTTCCCTGGAGCTCATATACAGGAGACCCCATTCCTCCTATCCCTTCCCTTTTAAATCTGCTTGAACTGCCTTACACCTCTTAGTACCTCTCACTTAACCTACCATCCCAAACCTCACCATCCAGGCTGCAAGAGGTTAAGAGCTAGAGGAATTCTCCAATTCCACTTCCCTCTAGAAGATCTAAAGTAGGGGGTTGGTTCCTTGCTGGAGAAATGTTTTTCCTATTTTAGGTTAGATATATGAAAATCATATAATAATAGAAGCACTGGTATATGTGCGAGAGCCTTGCATCAGAGTAGGTACTTAGTAAATGCCTATGGGTAGATGGATGGATGGATCAGTAAATGAATGAATAAGTGATTGGATGAATAGGTAATGGACAGAACAGTGAATCTAAGAATGAATAACTCTAGGTCCCTGGAAGGCTCATGTTCCAATGAGCATTTAGAGTAGAGATTCCCCAGGCTCCAGACTTAGGTCTTCATCTGACTTGTAGGGGAACCTAGGAGGTGGTGGCTCAGTCTAAGCACTCCATCATGATACATGCTACAATATTTAGAGAACTTGTCTTTTCAGTTCCTAGATAATTTATAAACAACATTATAAAACACAGACCATTTATAAATTAGCAGGCATCTGAATAAGTGAGGAAGAAGAGAGAGCTGAGTATTAACTTACTCAGATGAAAAGATGGAGAAGCTTTTTTGAAGTCACGTTTTCCTTTGGGTTGTATGGCTGAGCATGAATCTTGTTGCATCAACTTCTTGTAGCACACTGGTTCACAGTATTCATGGAAGGAACCCTGGAAATACCATTTGAATGGCCTAGGGAGAGTTATTTTTTCTCTGCAAGTCCATTTCCTCATCTATTAAATAGTTATCATAGTACTTGCCAGTCTACCTAATAGGGTTGTCAAAAGGCTCAGAATTTACATGAAATGATGTATGTGAAAGACTTTGTAAACTGCCAAGCACTGTTCAAACGTCAGGTGTCGCTATGATTATTATTGTTGTTGTTGTTCCAGATCTTTGATGAAGAGTACAATGTCTGGTTCCTAGACTGGGGTGGCGCCCTCGTGGCCATGAAACACACACCTCTGCCAGTCAGGCATTTGTGGTAAGGACAGCTCCCTACCCTATTAATGAGCAATATTTTAGTGGAAAGGACTGGGACAAGTTATTCTGTATGGTTTTGTACCCATTTACCCATTTCCTCATCATCCATTTATTCATCCATCCATCCACTGAATATACATTACATCATTGAACTCTTAGGTAGCAGTAGTAGGCTAGATCATTTAGATGGGGGAGTATGATAATAGAGATACATTAGGAATGGGCGCTCAAATAAGGCAGAGAAGAGCAGGAAAAACCTATAAATTGGAGCAGCCAAGATTAAGAATCCAAAATACAGGAAATGGAAATTACTGTAAGAAGAAGGTTAGCATGTAGCAGCTACTAAGCTCAATTCTCAATAAGCTGAGTTTGAGATGTCTGAAAATTCAAGCAGGGATGATGATGAGTTGTCAGATATACGTCTTTGAAGGTCAAGAGAGGTCTGGGTAACACTCTTCATTGTAGTCGTCAGCCATTAGGTGGTAGTGAAAGTCATGGCAGTAGGCTAAGTGCCTCAGGAGAGTGGTTGTGACAAGAAGAAACCAGGGACTCCTAACGAGTGCTGGTGAACAGCAACACGAAGAGCAAAGGAAGAAATTACAGAGCAGATTAAGGGAAAATAGCCTGAAAGATAAAAACAGGAGGGAAATGTTTTCATGGATGCTGAAGGAAGGGGAGTTCAATAGCACCAAATTCTATAATCAGATCAAGTTAGTTATGGAGTGTAAAACTACCTAGGATTTAGTAATATAGGGGCTTATTGGTGTTCCTTTTCAGAGTAGATTCAAAAGAGAGGTAAAGCTGAAAGTTAGAGTGCAATAGATACGTGAATGAATGACTGAGTAAGCAATGGACTTAAGTGAGACTGTAGATGATTCTTCTCAAGAAAGTAGATTGTACAATGAAGTTGAGTGTATATGTGCAAAACTCTCCAGTGAGGACAAATTTCTGAGTGAGAATATGTAATGATGATGATGGTTAGGTTTCTTTTGTTTTCAGCAGGGGATGGATAAGTATCATTTGTGTTTGTCTCCTGAAGGGAAAGAATTTCAGGCCTCAGATTCAGCAAGTGAATATTTGAAAGAGTGACTCTTTGACAGTGATGGGTGTGCTGTCTCCAGTACAGTTGTTGGAATTAGCCAACGGCTGGATGGACCCTGGCTTAACTCCCAGGCCCTTGATTTCAGGAGACTAACTCTTTGAAAGAAAGAGTTTTACAAGAGGCCTCAGATTGTAATTAGGAAAAGGCGCAGAATCCCCAGGCACCAAATTCAAACTTAGCTACCTTAAGTATAAGGACTTAAGAAGGTTTCTCTCAGTTTGGCCATTTATTAGGTTACACCATATGAAATTGCCACTTTTGTAAGTCAAAAATGATCAAATATCATCAGTTTCTTAGAGCTCAACCTAACTGAAGTCCATGGTTTTACCTACTATGATATCTTCCTACAGAGAGATTATAAGAATAAATTCTTAAAAGATGCATGGAGCCATTTGTAAGAAAAGGGCTTTACCAACTCAAGAATGAGCTTATAAGAGTTTCTAAAATAATTATTTATCATCCTTTTACTACTGATTGTATAGTTTTTAGATAGTATCATAAGAATGAATTACTTGATACTAATGATAGAATTTACTGAGGGATTATTATATTCCAGAAACTGTTCTAAACCCTTCATATGAATTGTCTAAGTTTTTGAAACAACCTCTTCATCATGTTTTTATAATGCCATTGAAATACAGGCATATTAAATACCTTGCTCAAGGCTACACAGTGAGTACCTGGCAGCACCAAATTGGGATTCTGTTATGGTTGCTCTTCTGTCTTAACTACTGATTTTCTCAGATATTTCAATAAGTGCACAGAGGCTTATTCATGGTCCCTGCCCTCTGGGAGGTCGTAGTCAAGATGAAGAGTTTAGATAGCCTACGTATTGCTGGAAATCAAAGCAGTGCCCACTAAAGGATGCTGGCTGTGTGTATTGCTGGAATCCTGATGCAGGTTGGAGTCCTGCCTAGTGGGTAAGGGGCTCTTTGTGCAGTGGGTGGCATGAGGATTGATCCTGGAAAATGGATGCCTGGAGTAGGAGGAATTATAGGAGGCAAGCCAGGGAAAGAGAAAACTCTAACCAAAGCCTGTAATTCAGGAAACATAGGGAGTGTTCAGAGACTGTATTTGGTTGGAATCCATAATGTTAGTAAGGGTGGATAGAACTCAGAAGATCTTACGTGCCAGTTTAAGGGTTTCAGGTCAAGCCTGTAGAGGTAATTACTCAACTTGTAGGTAATTCCTTCTAAGACTACAAAGACCTGTTTCTCTCTGTGGAAGAAGAGCTCTCTCTACTGAGGACTGAGTAGGACTTGTACTTTTAGAGGGGGAAGCTTGACTCATTAAATGAATTGGTTGTTTTTTTTAACCAAGAAAGGAAACATTTTTTTAGCCCCTAGAATGATATTCTAGGAACCTCCATCTCAATCTCAGTAAAAGAATTGATAAATGCCCTGCAGACAGATATAGCTGGGCGGATTTTCCCATGGAGGTCCTGGAGAAAGTGGGTGACAGTGGCATATTGTACCTGACCATCACTCTCTTGCATTTTCTCCATTATGGTAGGAACCTAGTATTTACATAGAAGAGGAGTATATTTGGCATGGACTGGGACTACAGAGGAGAGGGACTAGGAAGAGTTTGACTTTGGCCAATCTTAGCATCCTGACATCTGACCATTCAGTCTGTTCTACTATAGTTTCTGTCCGTGTCCCTGATCACTTCCAAAAGATGCCTTTGTCTGGGAATTTCTGGAGGGAAACCTTTCTAGTTGGGAAAAATTAATGTTCACTCAGGGATGTGTAAGTAGGATCAAATCATGCCTCTCAAAGTCATCAATACCAAGTTTCAGTTTTTTCCTGTTCCATGAAATATCTCTTTTGTTAGCTAAAAATATAGAGCTCAGAAAAAAATGGCTACCTTCCCACTGAATTTCCTCCTATGGTAATAATGATAATACTACCCTCATTTGTTTGCTTACTCCAACTTACGAAACCTTGAAAGTGATTTTTCAAACTAAGCTTTGAGATAACATTTTATTCATTTAAAGGATGTTGACACTGTCATTTGTCATAAATGCTGGAAATGTTTCCCTGAACTTGGACACCGCCCATGCTTTCTGCTACCTTGCCTATCTGTGAACACACTCTTTCCGATAATCTCTGCAGCAGTTAAATGCCAGCTATTGAGTAGGTATGTTAGAAAATGTCAACAACAAATAACTCATTCAGGAATTCTCCCTGGCACTTCTCTTTCAAAGGCTAAGTGAGTGTTTTGTAAGGGCTTGACTGTATCATTATTATCAATGTTTCCTTACAAAATTCTTGACTGATTTTGTCTCCTACTTATGAATTGCAAGCTTGTGACACTCAAGCACTTTCTTTATCACCAGTAGCTTCTAAATCAGTCACAACCTCCAAGGTAAACAAATTAAGCTCTTTTAAGTGGAAGAAAGTTCGAGTAATCAGCTTATTGTTATTTTCTATGTAGCTCTCAGACTGACATTATTTTGTATACAGATGTATATGTATTTGCATAGAAAAAAACACATTTACCCACTCTTATAGTGGCTCTAAAATTTAAATAATAGCTACATTGCCTTTCAGAGAAAATATGAGTCGTAATTGAAAAGCTGGGGAGACTTTAGCTAGACTAACAAGGCATGCTGTTTCTGATAAATTGAAATGATAAGTAGCTAGATACATGCAAAGACAAAACAGCATACAAATAAAACCCATCTATTTGTGACCATGTACATTTGGATGCATAGAGATTAGAACCTAATGCTATTTCAGGTAAGGCTTCCATCCAGTGTTCTTTGCTCCTTAGAAGCATCAGAGTGAAATGAATAATGGAGCCCCATGGAATGCAAGCCCTTGCTCCGATGAAGACTCACAATAGTCAGAGCTGCTAACCAGCAGGTAGCCTGGGTCCAACTGTTTGCTTAGCCCTGGCACACTGTCGGGTGTCTCCTTTCAATGGGATGTTCTTGGAAACAGAGCAGAAACGTCACCTGGCCTTTTTGGCCCTTTGTTCTGCTATAAGTGGTTGTGAGCAGTAGTATTTTGTTCAGAGAAACAGTCACATGGAAACAGTAGTTCCAACTGGTATTTGCCTTTGAGAAGCAGAAGTGCATGTGACTTCTGAAGAACTTCCAGGTGGCTAAAATGCCACCACCTCATGAATTTGCAATAAAATAAAATGGAGCAGTGTACCTAACCAAGGGGAGGCTGGCTGATTCTCAGTGAGCATTATAACTCTCTTATTTTTGTGCTAAAGACTTCTGCGGAGGGCTCTGGTTGTTCTTGGAAGATTCTTTTCCTTTTAGTGAATCTCATCTCATCTCAATACCATGAAGTCAGAGATACATGGACTAAGCAAGGGTCTTAGAGCATATATAGTCTGGTTTTGCACCTGGTGTAGCAGGTAATGGTTGAACACATCAAAAGGTCACCCCACTTCACCAGAATACTAGGGCTGCAGAACTTCTACACACCCAAGACAGAGAGTTCCCATCTTGGACAATGGCTTTACTTGCTAGCAAGAGTGTTTTATGCTGAGCAATAATGAATCTACTTGCAGTTTCTGTCCATCAGCCCAGTTCTGCTGCCCAGATCTATGCAGAATAAGTCTGATAAAGAATTGCATGTGATTTTTTAAACTGTATAGCTGGAAAGAACTTTAAGAGATTTATTTGTCTAACATTCTAACATCTGGGAAATGATCAGGTATGCAACTCAAGATGGATTTTATGTATTCATTTGTTCTTCACATATTCATTGAACATATACTGTTTATCCAGCATTAGTATAAGGGCTGAGATACAACAATGAACAAGATAAAATATTTAGGAGCTTACATTCTTGAGCACAAATATTTAACTATTCTCTTTAGAATGGTTAGAGAATGGAAATCTTTTCTCTGTTATTTTATCTGTGTTTTTAAAGTGCTGTTTTCCTTCATCTAAGTACATTCTCTCTGATTTAATTCACAGATGTTACCCCTTTTCAGTAGGGTTACTTTTGTTTGTTTAACTATTTGGAAGTCTTCTTACTAAAGATATTAAAAGATAATGGTAATTAATTCAGCTCCTCTTCTTTTCTCTAAGCAATCATCAATTCACATAACCTGTTTTTACCTTTAATCACATTGCTTGTTAGTTTTTCTACAGTAATTGAAACTGAATATAATATTTATGATCTAACAGAAGGATAATTTATTTTATTGTGCATGTTACCTACCTGTGAACACATACTACACTTACAGCACCTTGATTACCTCTCACAGTAGTGCCATTGCTGGAAAATATTTACTTTGTGATTGACAATAACCCCAGTTTTTTCACCTTGAACTTATCATTAGTTACTCTTTTCCTTTCTGTGGCTGTGGGACAATTATTTTTTCTTCCAAGTAAGCATTCTGCTTTGAATTGGTCCTACCTTATAAGTGACTTCCAAATCTACATCCCAGGTTTTGATCACTCCCCAGAAATCTCGATCCATCTATCCAAAGGTCTCCTTGACAGTGTCACAACATGAAAGTCCAAAAAGCATCTAAACCTTGGTGTGGACCAAGCAGAAACAAATTAAAAAAATCTATGCTTCTTTTCCCTATTGCAATTGCTTAATCCTAAAAGTCCAATTTTTTCATTATTTCTTTCTTTTGTTTAACAACCTATACATATTCTACTCCAAACCCTATTCACTTCCCCTCTAAAATTACCCTAAATCTTACTATCTTTTTATATCTCTACTACTATAACCTTTGTCCAAGCTCCCCTCTTACTTGGTCTCTTTCAACTGCCACCCCTTCCCCCAACTCATTTCCCTGCATCCACTTTAGGCCCCAACAATCCATTCACCACAGAGAAATAAAAGTTATCTTTTAAAGGTTAAACCAAATCATATCTCTCCCATTTGAAATGGAAACAGAGTCCTTCATATTCTGGCCTTATTTTCTGACTCCATTTCTTCTACTAACTTTCTTTCACATTAATTTACAACTACTGACCATCTTTCTGTTCTTCCCACACAGCAATTTCATTTCATACTAGAGCTTCCCTCTGGCATGGCTCTTACCTGGGTCTTTGCAGAGCAAGCTCCCTATTTTCAGATCTCAGTTTAAACGTCCCCTCCTCAGAGAGGACTTTCTTAACTTTTCAGTGCAGTGTAGCTATGCAGTTACTCTCTATCATATCACTCTATTTTTATTGTCTCCATGACATTTATTTCTAACTCAGATTTTTGTAACCATTTATCTACATATTGTTTGTCTCCTTAAACTAGAAAGTAAGTTTCACTGAGGAAAGGCCTTCCTTTCTTTCTTTACCACCATATTCCTTGAAGAGAGGCTACTGCCAGACCAGGCCCATAGCAGGCACATCAATAAATATTTGATAAATGAATCTTGTTCTGTTTTGGCTTGGTGGTCCTTTCTTACCATTATTTGGAGGCCAGTTGGAACTTTGCACCTGTCTCCCTAAGAATTGGCAATTATACCAATTTCACTTTTACCTGTGGGCCTTTTAAGGAATTACCAGTTCCTTTGTCTTGGCCATTAGTGAACTATTGAACTGAGGAGGAACAGGTGGATCTCTCGGGGATACCATTCACTATGGTTACTTCACAACATATAAAAACTCCTAATCCTTTAAAAGAATAGCTCTCATAACTGGCAGGCTATCTCCATCCAAATTTTCGATACCTATGAGATTATATTTTCTGATGTCATATTTTTTTGGGTTTCTTAGAGAGTTTTCTTTTGTTTGTATTAATTACCGTAGCCTGTGATATTCAGGTGTTTGACATTACTGATCTCATAAAACCACCTGAACGGCACCATCCTGCTCTTCTAAGTAGTATGTTGATCCTAAAGGAGCATCGCGGCTCTCTGGGACCCTGGAGACCTGTCTCTTCGCTTATGCCAATGTATGCCTTGGACTTTGGTTATTGTATATGCCAGCTTTCCCACCTGGATTTTGGCTTTTCTCTTAGTTTTTCTTCTGATCCCCTTCTTCCATTTTGCCCATGTTTCTGCTCCTTCCTTATGAACTCAGTTCATACAGCAGGCCTTTGATCTTCCACAGTTTCTCTCTCTGATTTGGGCTTGCTTTTCCTTGGAGCTACCGTCTTAGAACTGCAAGGCTGTGCTGGTTTCCCCTTGTCGAGACTGTGGCATCTTATCTTCCATTTGAAAAGTACAAATAACCGACCTCTGCCCGACTCTCTCGATGGAGTGGTAAGAAGGCTCTGCCTTCCCTGGGATGCTGGTGGCACTCGCTGCAGTTTGCTCTGCTAGAGTTAAAGTTGACCTTCACTGGTAAGGAAATTCTGAGAATGAGACAAGGAGAGAGGCCTTCAACTCACTTTGGCTTCTTCCTATCAATACAATACCCAATTTATCGAAAGTTACCAAAACAAACAAACAAAAAACTAAACAAATACTTCTTTGCCTCTCAGATTCACCAGATTGAATGAAACAGCTATGATTATTTTAGGATCCAGGAGAGGGCACATGGCAAGAAAGATAAAGTCCATTCCCAAGCCTGCATTTTATTTTCACTTCTGAAATGAGAAACTTATTTCCATGAAAAGCAGTTGAGATCTGCCCAACTTTCTCTAGGTCAGGTTACATGATTATGTAGCCTTTAGCCTATTCTTTAAAAAAGGCTGAAATGACAAGTCCTTAAATGTCAAGACAATAATGTTAACTACGATTATCATCATCACACTGTACATTAGATCTCCAACTCATTCATTGTGTGTAATTTAAAATTTATACCCTTTTACCAACATCTCATTTATCCCTCCTGCCCCCTCCTCCCACTACCCACGGAAACCAGCTGGACTGTGGCGATCTTTTTACAATGTATACCACAAATTGTACATTTTAAATATAAATATGTTATTAAATGCTCACCCCAACTAGTGTAGGTATTATCTGTCAATATTAACTATACTTCAATTTTTAAAAATCAAAAAAAAGTAAAAATAAACAAATAAAAGTTATTTTTACATGTCAAAGTATCTCAATAAAGTTGTTTAAAGTCAAGACAGACACTGATAATTTGGGAACTCATAAAAGCTTAATGGCAGATTTTGTTTTTTGTTTGTGGGTATAGTCCTAGGTATACCATAAATATAAGAGTTGTTGGCTGGGTAAAAAGACTGACCTTCTTAATCTTTTTAATTAATATATTGGGTAAGAGAGGATAAGACAAGGAGATAGAGTTGAGACAGACAAAGAAGTGATTATGTAGAGAATGGACCGAATAGGTTGCGTAGTAGTGGGGAGACTCCCACATCCAGTTCGTGGAGGCCAGTATAAGTCAAAAATGGATGGGTTGGAAGAGTGCTGTTAATCATTCTTTTTTTTCATTCATTTATTCATTTAACATTTATATAGTACCAACTAGGTGCCCTTTTTCCTGTTAACTACTAGGAATGCAAAAATGAATAGTGTGGTCTTTGACCTCAAAGAGCTCACAGTTCAGTGGAAAAATCAGAAATTTTTTTGAAAGTATATGTTACATTGGGTAAGAAGCAATAATAAAGATATGTAGATGGTGTTAAAGGGCCATTCAAGAGCAAGACATATCTAACATCTGAACTCCCAAGATTAAATTTTGAGATGATAGATTCAATATCCATTAACAAGTGTTGCAAGAACATAGAGTTCCTACAGATGAACTCAGAGAATCCAGAGTTAGAGAGTCAGAGAAGAGTTAAGAATTAACCTGGCCAAGAAGGATCACAGAAATGAAGCAAATACAGCTTCCCTGGGGAAGGAGTATCAGGAAAATGTTTCCAGAGGAGATGGGTTTTGGACTATGCACCCTGGTTAAGGAAAAAAAAAAAATAGGATGGGTACTTGATAATATCACGGAAGGAAAGGAAGCAGGCAATCAGAATTACTCACATTTCTCCCACTAGTAGCATTCTTTTAAGAGTTTCAGGTGCTGTATCCACAAAGGGCCAGAACCTCTTCTCACCACCAGACAAGAGATGGCGCAGTGTTGCCCAGAACATATCAGACACTCAGTACTCATATCTAAAAGCCTCTTAAAATGGCACCAGGGAGGGAAAGTGATACTAACATCCATTCTGAACAAATAGGAAATTGCTTTTTTTAAGGTTTGATCTGAAAGACACACACCTCCCCTCCCATAGGGTACACCCTGCACCACTCAATTTATCTGTGTCAGAAACTCCAACGGCTGAATTGATTGTGCTGTAAATTGAACCTCGGGTTCCATTCTGAGTACTTGAAACGTGACACTCCATCCACTAAGCCCTCCTGCTTGGGTTGTTTTTTTTCAATTCTCATATGTTGAAATATTTCTGCTGCTCTGGTGCTGTCTCTGCCTGAGCCAGGAAATGCAGTTTTGATCAAATCTCATAATAATATGGGGAGATGCTGAAGATTAATGACAATTGATAATCCAAACTGCCAGAGAGTGAGATACGGAGGAGAATTTAATAACTGAAAAATTGCAAAAGAATGTGGTTGTGTTTTCAGCTGTCTCTTCCATGTACTTGTTTCCATCCCAGGGTGAGTTTTGACGAGGGCCACTCCTGGGACCAGTACGGTTTCACGTCGGTTCCTCTCTTTGTTGACGGGGCTCTTGTGGAGGCAGGAGTGGAGACCCAGATCATGACGTGAGTACCTCTTTGGCTGTGGTTGGAAGGAGCCCAGAGACCCAGACCCGGGTTCTCTCTCACCAAGGCTTGGGAGCTTTCCCTACACCAAAACATTTCAGTCTGTGGGTCAAAGTTTCCTCATCTGTAAAATGGAACTATTTATGCTTGCACCCCGCCAATTCAAAAGGCTACTTAGGGAATTAGTGAAACTAGGCTTCTAACTGATAAGTTAAGATTTAATGTAATTTAAAGCGTAACAAATTCCCATTTATCTAAACTCCAAGCAAACAGAAAACTTTTCTGTAACTATGTTTTCTTTCTTTGTAAAACAGTCCAGTAGGGGGCTAGAGACAGGGACAGAAGGAGCAAAACAGCCAACATACTGAAATCAGGGAATATTTTCAGAGAAACTCCTAAAATCCGTGCCCCCCACAACGCACATACACTGTTGCTTTTCCACTCAAGATTAATTTGCTTGGAGATTTTTCTATACTCCTTTACACTAAAAATAGATGACCTTATAGCTCGAAAAAGCCCTGAAGTACTGTCTAAATAGTAAAGAAAATGTTAACAAGTTGGTGCTCTTTTCTAAATGTATATCAAATTTTAACTCCTAAAAAGTTGATTGCCTGTGTGTGTTTCTGTGCACATGTGTAGGGTAGCAGTGTATGGGGAGATAATCATGGTAACCCTCCACCCACTAATAGCACCCGTTACCTCTCCCATTCCCCAAGCGACTAGAAGAGGTTACATGTTGATTTCTCAGGGGACAGAAGGAAGGGCGTCTGCCAGGTGAGCTTGAGGGGAATTTGCTGGACTGTGGAACTGGCACAGCAGAGTTCATAGATGCTTCTGTGCTGCTTTGGGGGAAGCATGTGTTCTTCTTACTCTAGGGGACACCACTGTTCTTTTCGCCTTTGCACTCAGGAATGTTTTTATAGTTTGAGTCACCCAATATGAGGCTGATAGGCTTTGAAGAGGATGCAAATACAGAGGGAGATGGCTAGTTCTATGCTTTTCCTTTTTCCTAGAGGCGTCAGTTAAAATTCTTTAAAATGGTGGCTATGCAGTTTTGACCAAATGTTGTAATCTGGCTGCTGATTTGACCACTTGGCCATGTCCCACACCTCTACTTCCATCCACAGGGTTGACGGCCCACTCCCCTGGGCTTTCAGAGTGACAGAAAGAACCCAGCCATGATGAAAAATAGTGCACAAATTGGGGAAAAACAAACAAGTGGACACAAGTCTGATCCCAGGGTTAAGGCACCCACGTTAGGATTCTGTGCATTCCTGCAGCTGTGGATTACTTGCCGGCCGGCCGGCCTTGCTAAAACTCTGTACCTTCATTTGTGGAACAGAATCTCTCCCTCTGCTTCTTTCCAAAATGTTGAAATACTAAAAATCTTTGCCTTTTTGGGAAATTCAGCAGAAACACTGCAAAGGAGTCCCCTGTCTACAGGATTTATCTACAGAAAGGGTTTATAGGATTCCCAGTGTCCTCATTATTGAAAAAGGTTCAGAATAGAAAATTGGGGTGTTTCCACAAGAATATCTTTAAAATCATTTGGGACAAGTACAGCAAAGACTCATCTTAAATTCTTTTCTTTAATTCTCTCTGAATTTTCTAAATGGTCAGTGAAATATTTTCTCCACCTCTGAGAGTGGTGGACTGTGTCTTTTAAAGACTGAACACTCGTTTTTGAGCATCTGCTGTGTGTTAGGTCCTGGTTTGGATCCAGGAGCTCTGTGGTTGGAGATGGAAAGACATGATGTCAAACCCTATCAGGGGCTGCTGTGATCCTCCCAAGGGGTATGTTACACTAGTAACTGATGTCTTTAGATGCAAACTTTGTGCTATGCTAGGACTTCCTTGAGCAGTTCTGTTGTAAAATGTAAACAAGGATTTCCTATAGAATTTATTGCTTGGGATGAAAGGCTTTAATCTGAGTTTTGTCTGATCATTTCTTCCCATTTTAATACAACCCAAAACAGAATTGACTCACCATCAAAATTTATAATTAAAGTGCCTATAATAACAAATAGATTCTGTTGTTAAACTGTCAAATTATTTTATTAACTAGGAGTTAACATTGTGTGCAAGTTTAGCTGTACAGGCCATAGGTGGTGTAAGATATAGTATATTATTAATGCTTAGAGTCTACCATTTCATTGTTGGGTGGACACACAGCAACAATAATGTAGCATAAGCCCTGGATGTTCAAGGCAGTATCAAAATATAAATTTTATTTCAAAAATACAAATGATTTGATATATGTGTAGTGATATATGTATAGTGAATATATATATATATGCACATGTATGTGTGATAGACACATACACATATGTACATGTATGTATGTGTATATATATATATATATATGGAGATACAGAGAGAGAAATCCCAAGGATCAAGGATCCTTAAAAGACCTTTGTGAAGTCATACTGCAAAAGAAATTGGTGGTGTATATGTGCCAGATACTGTTCTAGATAAACAAATCAGAGAGAAACCCCTGTCCTCATGGAGTTTGCATGCTTGTACATTAAATTAATGTGACATACAAATGACTCTGTTACATTACCCAGAATGCTCTGCCAGATTAAAAATATTTTTATGAATTCCAGGAAGCATATTAAATACAGGAATATTGACATTTTTTTCATGAGGATCTCTGACCATGAGCTGATTTTTCTAAATTATTTCCCATACTTCACTTAATCAGTAGATGAGAAAGAAAAACTTCCTTTTTTTCCAAGACTTCTCTGAAAGGACTATCAAAAAGTTTGTGTTGATTTCTAAATTCTGTAAGACAAAAGTACACACATTCAAGAAGGCTGTGCAATCTGCTTGACTTCATCAAGCCATACGTGGATGCTCATCACAATCAAATCTGACATGATCCTAGAATCTCGGTCAGTGAAGATGTATATGGTCCTAAATTCAGGCATTCCCTGTTTTTGTACCACAGAGACAAACTGGTCTTCCTTTTATTTTGTTTTCTCCTTATCTTATAATGTGATTCATTCTGCATTCTCTCATATGAGACCTCTTTGAACACACTATATGCTTGTTTCTCCTGGGCATTACTTTGAACAATGCTACCTGTATACCACTCTCTACATGACCTGTCATTCCCTAGCAAGTTTAAGGCCACAGTTTAAATTCTGTTTCATCTAATCTTAAATGGTAATAATTTTTTCTCTCCTTCAGATAGAGTTTAGCTGGTCACATGAATATGAGGGAGATTGACCTCAGGGCCAAACCATTTATTGAAAAATGAGATAGAGCTCCTATTTTCCTTTCCTTCCCACTAAGACTCTACAAGAGCATGGCAGGCCTTCTGTCTCATGCCCACATTGCTTATCAAGATACTTTAGATACTAGCCAGTAGAAAAGGAGCTAGAATAGTGCATAATTTTCTTACATGGGATTTGGGACCAAGATGTCCTTGTCTGTTCATGAAATCAAGCTGCTTCATTTGAAAGCTGTAGCCAACCAAGATAAACAATTCAGGCTACTATTTTTAATTTTTTACCGAATTCAGAGTTTCTCTAGTAAGAAAATAATCTAGGTTATTGTCAGGGCTCTTCAGAAAATCAGAAGGGTGAGCCCTGGAAAGATTGCCAAGAGGCAATTTCTGTCTCTCCCTTAGATTTGAAAAGAACTTTAAAATCAACTGATCTACTGGTGCTGACCAATGATTTTCCCTCATGGAATGATAATGGCAAGAATTGAAGCAGGAGTTCAACAGTTTTATACGTTCCTTAGGAACTGCAAGGACAGAGAGTCCATTTGAGGGCAAGAAGGCTTGATCATGCCATTTAACCAAAAACTTATTAATGAGGTAGGTTATTTGGGTTGTGTATCCTTCCACTCCCTGTTAACTCTGACTCTGTAGCTCAGCTATGGTCGGGGAAAAAGAAGGGCCAGCTCACTCACACTGTGGTTTTCTTCCCTTATCTTGTTACCTTCATTTGGAAAATTCAAATATGTATCAGTTTGTGATGGTTAATTTTATGTCTCAGTTTAATTAGATGTGTGGTCAAACGTTATTCTGGATGTTTCTGTGAGGGTGTTTTTGGATAGGCTAAACATTTACATCAGTAGACCCAGTAAAGCAGATAGCCCTCTCTAATGTGGGTGGGACTTAACTCAATAAATGGAAAGCCTGAACAGAACAAAAATGCTGACCCTTCCCTGAGTAAGAGAGAATTCCTTCTGCCTGGCGGCCTTTGAACCAGGACATGGCTTTTTGTTGCGTTTTACTCTGGCCGAAACATACACGCTTCCTAGGTGGTCAGCTCTCCTGGGTCTCTAGCTTATCCGCTTACCCTTACAGGTTCTGGGACTTGTCAGCCTCCAGAATTCTATGAGCCAATTCCTTATAGTAAATCTCTCTCTCTCTCTTAATATATATATCCTATTGATTCTGTTTCTCAGTGTGATTAATACACAGTTCACTCATTCAAAAACATTTAATGAGCCTCTAATAAGTTTCAGACCCTCTTCAAGGGTATCAAAGAGGTCGATATAATGTTTTCCTTTAAGGAGCTCTCACGCCAATGCATTGAGGAAATGGGGATATATTATTCATCAAGGACCTCCTGGCAGAAAGTAGGTACTTCTTACCAGGAGTGAGCAGCAGCCCGCTTGTGTCTGTTCAGCACCTTCCTTATATAACTAGGATAAGAGTAGAGGAAAGTAGAGACTTCACACATACAAAAGGTGACAATTGAGTTGGTCTGGAAGTTTCAATAACTGTTCACCAGTGGAGAACCAATTAATATGTAATTGAATGTAAGCTCAAAGGAAGCACAAATTTTTAACAGTTTTGTTGAACATTATAACCACAGTGCCTAAAAGGGGTGTTGGCACATAGTGGGAAGTCAGTAATTATTTGTTGATAGAATGATTCAAAGGCACAGGAAAGAGCACTGGTGAAGGGAGGAGCATTAGTGGGTATTCAGGGCTTGAGACTGAAGGGTCTTAGGTCAGGTTTAGGTATTTGAGCTGGATCC